GTATTACTAATCACAAATATTCCCAGAAATGAAGGCTTTTTGGCAAGAAGTAGAAAGAGCTGTGCCCAAACAGAATATCTAATGTGTATCTAGGCTTCAGGTTGAATACAAATATGTTGAGACATGTGTAAGACATAAAAAGAATTTCCCCTCAGGGCTGCTGTTTGCCAAGAGAACACCTGATGAGCATATAAATATTTATGCTGCACATGGAGGAGTGCACCTCATTTACCTTAAGCTTGGTTATTTACATTTCTTTAGTACTAAGGATACAGCCAGGTATTTAAATTCTCATATCAATGGCATCTTTTATCTGATGGATTCATTTCACCCACTTGAAATTAACTGCACAAGGTTTCCTTGTAACATTTTAATGACATTAAGAACAAGCACAGAAATATGTCCAATGAGGAAGTCATGTGAGAATGACCAAAAATATTTGAATAACTAGTCATGCTTATTAAAGGATGTTTATAGAACCCTCACAAGATAATTTCTCTTTTGTGCTTTAAATCCTTGGTCAACTCATCCTCCTTTTTTTTGTTATTGAGTCAAACTAATACACAACTTTATTCAACATAAACTCTTGGCTTTCTGTTTCTAATTTTGAGAGGCATCATTTAGTTAATTGATTTTAAAACAAAGGCATAGCCTTAAATTATGAATGAAAAAAAGCATACTTATAATGAGAGAGCTGTGCTTTCATCATGTATATTCACCTATGATATAATTCCTATTAAAGTCGCTTAATTTTTGAAAGATGTATAGGAAATGTTTTCTCAACATGTCCCTGTTTTCCCAAGGCAGTAAGGGGATTTGGCCAACTGTAGAAGGAGCTGGAAATGTTCACCTGATTTTAATTTATGTGACAACAGGGACCTAGGTTTGCTCATCAGCAAATACCCAATGCTTTTAATGGTGCTGAGCACAAAGTAGGTGCTCAGTAAGAACTTATTCAATGAATTATATGTGACAGAAAGATTAGATCTATTTTGTGTGACCCTAAAAAAATATAACTAGTGTTATGGATGTAAAATTTAGGAATACATTCCTAAAAACCATCCTCAGGTTATTTAAAGGTGAGAGAAGTTTGCTCAGATAGTTAAGAAGGGTTTTAAGAACAGGCCGGCCAACACTATAGTACTGATATGATGAAGGGGATTTTAGCATCACCTAGCATGGTGAGTGAAGGGGATTAATTGTAAGTTGTGTTTAACTGTGAATTCTGAGATTCTATATGGGTTCCTGGGTGAAATCAAGAAATGAGTCTTCAACTTCCCACCCCCATACTTACAGATACATTTGTATCTAATAACCACTCTCAGAGGAAGCAGGTCTCTTTGTCAAAGACAAATATCTCTAGATTCCAGCCTTTCCTACCTCTTCTGAGGCCCTAGGACAAAAATGGAATACGTAGCACATGTCTATATCCATTGTCTGCCTGCTGATTCCTTACTTAAGGTCAAAGCCTACCCAGGAGTTTCTTATGTTGACAAGACTTGATAGAGGTGACACTTGAAAGATGAAAAGGTCCTCCTCGGGTGTATGGAAGGAAGGTAAAGGGTAGAGGATGGAATGTGAGAGAGATTAGTAGGGGCTGTGTGACTGATCAGGCAGCTGAGTGATCCATCAGGAGCTATCGTAGGGGTTATGCTAAAGAGCTTGTACGTCAATGTGAAATTTTGCATTAATTCTTCAAATGTGTCTCCATGGGGCGATTATACAATGGTAGAGTGCTATATACCCTCTCCATCCCAGAACAGTTCCATTTTAAATTGATATTATACCTTAGAGTTTAGTATAAACTTTAATTTGAGAAAGGGGTCTCACTACCTTCAAAATGTTTCTTTCCCCTGCTCAGGCTAAACACCTTGGAATCTTCCTTACGTCTTCTCTTTCTCTTACCTTTTGCAACCAATTAATCAACAGAGCTCTGTCTTAAAATATATTCTGAATCCAATTATATATTCTGATGTCCTCACTGCTATCATCCTCATCCAAGCCACTATCTTCCCTCACTTGATCTATTGCAATGGTACCCTAATCAGTTTCCTGCCTCCACCCTTCATGCTTTCCCCATTCCCCACCACAGTGCGTTCTCCACAGAATGAGCCTTTTAACATAACTATTTCATTCCACTGAACAAAACTCTATAATGGCTTCCCTTCTCACTCAGAATAACATACAGAAGTCCTTATTGTGACTTGCTAGGTTTTGATCCAGTACATGATTCTCTCTCTGACCTTGTCTTCTTCCCTTTTCTGCTTGCTCACTGAACACTGGACACATTTACCTTCTCACTCTTCTTCAAACACACCAACTCTGCTCCCACTTCAGGACAGTTGGACTTTCTGTTCTCTTTGCTTGGAATACTTTTCCCTCAAATATCTGCATGGTTCCATCTTTCACTTTGTTCATGTCTTTACTTAGATGCCACCTTTACAGAGAGGTCTTCTCTAATCATCTTAATCCCACCCTACCTCAACAGACTCCCACTCATTCTTTTCCTTTTACATGACACTTTATATTTTATGCACAGATTTATTTATTGCTTATTGTCTGTCTTCCCAAATAAAA